TATTGATTTTAAAATGTTTAATCACTATCATGAATAGCCGTAAGAGTATAAATTTTGACTTAGAAAAAAGTCATTGAATGATCTAGATATTAACCAGATGTACTACACTTTTGGAGGATATTAATTCACTTGAATAGTTGTCTAACTTCATTAAGCGTCTTAAAATTACTTAGATTGGTCTTGCCGTGGGTGATATTAACGAAGTTAGGGAAACAGCTAGTCTAAACCAAGCTAAAACTCAGAATGAGTCAATTATTGGAGCTTATGAATCATTTCCAATGTGTCTTAAGAAGATTATGCACAGTCCAGAATTAACGATCAGAAAAGATAAAAATTCGAGTTATTTGCAAAAGGTAAAATTAACTAGGCGGTATAGATATCATTGCAAGGAAATAATTTTAATTTCTATGATCAAAATTTCAGCCTGCTTTTGTTAGCAATAGGGCGGTCAATAGCACAAAATACGATGAAAATGATAATTGGATACTGTATAGTTACTTAATTAAGATATCGGTAATTTCTTATGCTTGTTCCCAAGTGCAAGTTATAATTATCATCAACACAAAAATACTTGGGTACATGCTAGATCTATATTACTTACAGCTAGTTCAAAAATGTATGCACACTTTGCGTAATATTATGCAAGGAAGGCATAGCATACCTAGGTGAAATAATCAACCGCCTAAGTTTATTAGGCAATGTTTACCTTCCCTAGGGGATATACTATTGGACCTTAAATTAAACTATATTGCCTAATATTACTAGGTTGGGTATAAAATACCTATTGTAAGATGGGTATGCCACACTTGGTTATCATACTTTGTCAGCTACATATATGAAGCATTTATGTCATGTAATATTGAAAAAAATTTTCGAGAAAAATTTTGAAGCACACTATTCTTCTTAACACTATTTAGAAAACTTGGCATTCTTTAACCGATAATATAGCAATGATTCAGGAGGAAAAAGATCAAGTTAATCAAGACTTTGATTGTAAAAGTTTAAAGGCTTTCGTTTTCCGACAACGAACAGAGTAAGAATTACGTTGTTGAACACGCCGATTATATTACAATTAATGTTTGCAATTATTTTGTAGAATAAGTCAGTTAAGAGAATTGATCGAAGATATGAAGTCAGATATTAAAATTATCAGCCATTCGAATCATTTTGAAACTAATAAATTGACTAAGCAAGTCTTGCATAAGTTGCAAGCCAATGGCAATGAAACGGTTACTACCACTGTTGCTGACTGAAAGATTTGTACTGCTTTAACCAACATTATAAGTCAAATTTGATAGCAGCTATAAATATTTGCGAAGATACATGTATTGGTTATTTTTATGGCTAGAGGACGGCTATTTATCAAACTACAAACGTCTACCGTTACAAAACATGAGAAGACATCTAACATGCACGGTGGAATTTATAATGGCATGAATGATATATATTAACATATAAGTAGCTTAAAGAAAAATATATAACGAGGCTAATCTAACAATCTACATGTTTGCTACATGCATTACAAATCCAAATGTTATATTAGATAGACGATTACAAATAAAATGATATTCGTATATATCGCCTATAAAATTAATTTGTACCTATATATAGTCAGTATGTGTTGTGCTTATAATATGTCTCAAGATGTACAGTGCACACTTTCATGTCTATTTCGCGTGTAGAAATCTCCATAGACGTGATTTAGTACCTTTACTTTAAGTACTTCCCAGTTTACTATGTATCTTACCGATCAGGCTTACTGTTGCAGTATTTTCCTTCATAACTATATAATAATTTGCTTCAAAACTATTGTATCAAAATCTCTTCCATACGCTATAGTACTGGTACTACAATTTACTAAATGTTCCACTCATCTAACTGGTATGCAAAATATCACAATCAGTAGATTCTACTAAATATAACTAATATTTGAGCAAATGATGATAGCTTCAAATGTACAAGATATTAAAGACATATCTATCGTATTAAACGTAAAAATCTCTTTGAAGGTATTTTGCTGCAGACATATAAAATAATACAAAGTTATGTTCTACTGGTTTGACGAGCTGCAGTATATTAGAGCTAAATATCAGCTGCGCTTAAAGAGATATTCTTCGGTTTCAATCATGCAATTTATGGCGAATTGAGGGAAATCTAATGTTGCCTTGAACTGCGTTTGCTTTTTCTATTATAAAGTATCTACACTCTTCATCGTATTAGACTGATGAAATATCGGTATTAAATCTACGACAGAGTGCAAGTCCGATAAGCTTTTCAAGTATACACTGCTCAAACAGTAGATTAGCAACAATAAATACATTCATAATTGTAGCTAGTAAGTATTGGAAACTAGAAATTACATGCAATCTAATAACTAATTGGCTATGTTAAGACTATTTTACTTATATTGATTTTCTTTTGTGCATTATAGAAATGCTACCTTATCAGCTCCTGTTTGATTATTTGTAGTTATTTCAGTCGATGTTGGTAAACCATACGTTTTCATTCTAAGTTACTTGACCTTTAATCCTAAATACATCTATTCCTGCTTGCATAATGCTAAATTACAGCTTCTCATAATCAGTCCAGAGTTAAAAATTTCTACAGAATGCAATAATTCATCATTTCTCATGTCTCATATTCTAGATATTCTCATTCTATCGTACATGTCCTCTAATATATATTAAATAAATGCATATTCTACAGGTGTGTACCGCTACTAGAAGCCCTCTCAATATTTCTTGATTATTAACCATTTGGAAACTAGTCTATAACTTTACAATAAACAACATACTTGCTATATTAGGATAATTCTTACTTTGACAATTCATGAAATACATTTGTATTCTCTTTTTCATATACGTACTTAGTGAGTTCAAAACGTATTTTTAGAATTACATTATTTGTTATTGAATTTTCTCAATGCGTAATTAACGGCTATACCACAAAGAAATCCAATTCATTCCCAGAAAAAGGGCTAAAATCAGTGAAGATTCTATATGAACAGATTTAGGTTTGTTTCCATAGCAACCGTCGAACTTATTCATCAAGTAATTGCTCAATCTCTTCGAATTTATTTTGATATGCTAATGAATCCATTGAGTTCCATAGAGTAAATAGTATTTATTTGCATAGTCCAAAATAAGATAATTCAATATATGCCGACGAAAAGAACGATATCTTAATAGTTAGAGATAAAGTGAGTTGTCTCTCCTATAGCTAGTTAGCGTTAAATTAAATCGGAAGGCTCGAATCTAACCTGTTATAAAAGCAGCTTAGAAAACCAAACTTAATCCATCATCAACTAATTTAATGCTGTGCTTACACCGTAGCAAAACTTCCTGTTTTCAATATGGCGACAATAAATAAAATCCATACTGTGTCTGATAATGCCATTAATGATCTAGATGAAGAAACAGCTACATGTTATCGGCCCTTTCGGAAGAGAACTGTTGACCATTCCAACAGGCATAATTCAGTAGCAGGAAGAACTCGTCAAAGGAAAACCTCTGATTTAGCTATAGGATCTTTTGTAAGCTTAAGCTTAGCAATGGCTAAAATGGGCGGAATCGACGTATACGATGTAAGTCGGCTTATCTAGGTATAATCTGACACGGAACACAGACACTAACACTAATTTAATATACAACGATTATTTTAAATGAAAAGGCGTATAGAGCCTGCCAAAGTTATAGGAGTATGCTTTAATAATGCCGTTTTGTTGCACAGTCATATTTTTGAAAATTTTACTTCTGATTATCCCAAATGGAGTGATTGAATCATGACTATAAGATCTAAATTTCTGCGTAATATTAGGGATGCTATGTATTCAAAAATTGAGTAGTTCTAATTCTAGACAAGATGACTATAGATGAAGTGAGGGATGGATATTGTGGCAAGACAAGATCTTCATCTCTGTTCATATTGAAGATGCAGTTATTTAAATATTGAGTAGTTTTAATTTCAGTTTACATAATCATAAATGAAGTGTGATAAGGATATTATGGCACGAAAAGATCTTTATCTTTGTTTAATATTGGAGATCTATTGATTCAAATAGTAAGTAGTTGTAAATTTTAATTTAGATAACCATAGACGAAGTGTGAGGAAGATACTGCAGTGCAACGAAGCAGTCATCATAACGATATCTTATGGCATTTCTGCGTTAGCAACATTTTTATGGTAGCACGTAATTTCTCTTTCAATAACCTAAGAACTTTACACCAAAATTATCCCTAGAATAGCGTATATTAGGACCTATTTCATTAAAAATTAAATGAATTCAGTCGACCAGTAATAACTAACAATCAGGCAAAAGTAAAGTAAGTTGAATGTTCTTTACAGAACATAGTGAGAATAGTTTACCATCTTCCCTCTCCATCGGCCTATAGTTTGGTTGGAGGATCTTAATCATCATTCCTATTGATAAATTGATATTTGGAACTACTTGATCAACAACAATATAACTTCTGTAGATATCTAGATCATGAAAATAAATGCTCAGGAACAAATAAATTATCATAATAATTTCAATTTAACTAGACTTAATTCCTTATTAAATTCTTTTTCGAGAACCTGCATTAAAAGCCAGTCTTTCTTTCACTTTACTTCAATACTTTATATAGGCAGCAGTAAACGGAGATTTAGAAGAGTTGAGCCGGGCATTCAAGTCAAGATTTTATTTAGATAGAATCGATTATCCAGACGAAAACGGGTTAACCCTTATGCATCATGCAGCTATCCATGATCATGGTGAAATTGTCAACAGCCTAATTAAACACGGAGCGGGTATTCGTAGTTGCTATTTATTAACAGTATAATTAATTTTAGCTTTCAAGCTCTATCTCATCATAATAAATTTAGATATCATGGATTACTATTAATCGACATGTGATAGACAATAATGATAGCAATAGATATTCTGCACAATTCTAATACAGTAACAACACATTTATATAATCTGCTATGGCCATATAAACATCGATACTAATGCATACCGTCTGAAAAACATAGCTATTGATAGTATTGAAATTGCGGACAAAACACCATTGCATTTAGCTGCAAGGCATAATGCATGTGTAGCAATTAAAGCTCTGGTCCAAAACGGTGCTATGCTTGATATTGTCGATAGTAATTCAAGAATGCCTTTGCATTATGCCTGCGAATATGGCTGCAATGAAGCTGTCGAGGTAATTTAAATTTAATATATCTAGGCAGTCTACTCCTTATGCACTTTCTGCTATCGTAAGCACTCTCTAATAGAAAAAAATTGTGAAGTAATAAGAAACTAAACTATATTTTTAGACGATTTTATATGAAGCCGATGTTATGAAAACGACCAAAACTATAATTAACGCTTATGATAAAGAAAGAGCAACTCCGCTGCACTTAGCAGTAGTAACTTGTTCTGAAGATACTATTCATAAATTGGTAAGTGAAAATTAAAATCTATTTAAATCTTTAGATATATGATATAGATGAATATTTATATCTTACAAAATTTAACTATGAAGTTATGGATATGTCCATGCAAATTGCTATGAATCTTTATTCTAATTAATGAAGAAAAAATATACAGAATGTCGTCTGTTTTAGTGGTTTACTGCTGATAGAATTATTATATATTCAGTATATAATTCGTAAAAAGTATAGAAAATATTTTATAATTAAATATAATATACCTACTAACTTACCTTCAAACCTACGGAATTTTCGTATATGCATTATTGTGGACAAATACAATTCTATATCCAATGTTAGCTGCAACGTGGAGCCAATATTTACCGAAAAGATGTAGTTGGACATACGCCACTACTATTTGCTGTGAAGCGGATAAGAACTGAAATTATAAAGATAATTCTAGAATTTGGTAAATGCTTAAAATTTGTCAAACTTGCAAAAATAAGTAGTGTCTAACTCTAAACCATCTTAATCAGCCAATTCACAAGGAAAACATGATTATGTACGCGTTCCAAATGAATTTGGTATGACAGCAATTCACTTGTCGGTTGATTCTGGGTCTGTTGAGGTAAATATTATCATATGGTTCGATAAATTATTGATATTATTTTATCTATAGCGCTATATTCAAATTGATTTGTTACACTGTTATAAGATTCTAGACAGCATATTTTAAGAATGCCTTTACAATTATGAAGTGGAAGCAATCATGGTTATTCATTATTATATTTTTCGCAATTTCTTTACTACTATCAGAATACAGAGCTATGTATCGCATTTGGAGCAGATATAGAGAGCCAGTCGGTAAATATATATGAGATAAATTACGCTAATTTACTGATAGCCATAGCTAAATCTTTGCTATTGTGGAGCCCTAATTGCTTTGAATAAGAAAAATATGTTATACTGAATGAAATTTTGTGTCATACCACACGGTTTAGAACGTTAGATAATGGTCTGAAATCCGTAACATATAGGATATATTTTATATATTTACATAGTCTGAGCTATTGACACCGTTGCATTTGGCGGCATTAAATGGGTATTACGAAATTGCAGAAATTCTAATCAATAAGGGTGCTAAAGTTAATACTCCTGATTCGAAAAACAAGACATGTTTACACTATGCTGCTTTAAGTAATAATGCAAAACTGATGGATCTATTACTAAGCCACGTAAGACTACACTTAAATCACTTTTAAATTCGATTCAATATATCGAAATTGGATACATTATACTTACTGTATTTCAAATAGGGAGCCCTGATTGAAGCTAAAGACATAAATTCTCAAACACCATTAATGGCAGCAGCCTGTCATGATTGCGTGGCCGCATTACAGTTTCTGATACAAAACGGTGCTAGCACTTCCGGACAAGATAAAGATGGCAAGACATGCCTCCATTTAATTGCAGAAAAGGACTGCAAGGAGACTGTGGCTATCATTTTAGAAGTAAGTGACAGGCTTTAAGTTTATTACTTTAATTTTAATATGCTATGAAATAATAACGTAAACATCAATAATATTCAGCATAGCGGATTGGATCTCATCAATGTTCGTGATACCGCAGGATATACTCCGATATTAGCAGCTGCGGTTACAGGGCGTATTAGAGTAAGAAGATAATCTATGATTACAGCTGCCCTTTAATATAATTTATTTAAATTGATATCATAAATCTTTAATAGACAGTTATGAATGGAATTAGACAGAGCAGATATCTCAGACTAGGCTAGAAAACCTAACGAGCGTATCTTTAAATAATTTACAGATTTTAGGGCGTATGATGGCACGATTTCAAGAATCCATCAGGCAGCATCAGGATTGTGATGGCAATAATATCTTACATTTAGCAGCATTGAATAATCATCGTGATACAGTTGCAGTTATTAACGATCATATGCCATTTGTAAACGTCAATGCACGCAATTTCCTTGGGCAGAGACCTTTACACTTAGCAGCATTGAATGGCAATAATCGAGTTATACATGCTTTAATTAAACGTGGAGCTAGCGTTGACTCCAGGTACCTTCAGCTAAATTATAAAGTAAATGATAGTTCACCGTAGATCGTACATGTCCACTTTATTCTATTCCATAGTTTTGTAAATAGGTGCAAGATAGACTATCTATTACAAAAATTTTTGTTAATTTACTTTCTTGATTTATTGTAGCTTTAGCTATAACTGTGCTTTGAATAGTTTTATTTCTTTCCTAGGGATAATTCTGGTTGGACTCCCTTACATTATGCCTCTAATTATGGCTTTGAGACTAGTGTCGAATTTTTACTATCTAATGAAGCAGCTGTTGATGCTTTTAACGAGGCAAAGGTTATTGCTGAATAGTGATCACTACAATATGCTGTAGATGTAGAGATGCTTTACTCGATATTGACTATAGATAAGCGAGCTTAGCTAAAATCTACCTATTAATTCAGAATTTGGCTATTAGAGTCGGCTATTAGAGTGCTTATTATTAATATCTTAAGTTGAGGCATATACTACTATAAGTATATGTACATAATAATATTTTATACAATTGTAACATATAAAATTTATTGCCTTCTAGAAAATATTAGATGTAAACATAATTATACAGCTGTATTCCATTTAATCAAATAACTTAATCTCACCTAGAAAACACCATTGCTGTTAGCATGCGAGAAAGGAAATACAGAAGTAACTAAATTGTTATTGGAAAATGGCGCAGATCCATCTATTAGAAACGATAGGGGCCAAAACTGCTTAGATATCGCCTGTGAATTCCGTTATAACGATATCGGACTAGCTATCATAGAAACAAAATAGTAAGTTTTTTCTTACAATTTATATAGTTAAATTAATCTCTTCATTTAAAACTAAGACGAAAATTATGCGAATAGATTGGTATAAATCAATCTTGTGGTGTTACTCTGACTTTATTAAATATTTCATTCAATTATGCATGAAATATTAGCTGGGAAAGAGTTATGAATAATAGAGCATTTGATGGTTACAATCCGATGAAACGATTAATAGAACGACTACCCCATGTTGCAGAGGTGAAGATTCTACAATAAAAGCGAATCCTATTTTAATGCTTAAAGTTGCCATGAATTGCGATTTTAATTAGAAGTATAAACGATGAATGAAGGTCATCAATACTTTCATTAATGCAAAACTATTTCAAATCAGCAAAAGATTCCTCTGTCATGCTTCGATAATATGAGAAATAATTGATACTCGCAGATAGCACTAACAGCTAAAAATTTGTAATACCGTTGTGGATAAATGTTCTCTTCTGATGTTGTTGAGTTGTAAATTTATTCTTAGGCCGTTATGGACAGGTCAATAACTCATACTAAAAGTAAATATGGCAAAGAAGAATGGGAACAGGTAGGCAGCTTTTTAAAAATAACTTGATAACTGTTGGTACAGAAGGCTACAATGATCACGAACCCAACGAATCAGCTCAATCATTACTTTTTTCAATTTCCGATAAAAATCTGAGATGAGGTTATTCAGGCATAACCGGTGGATAGTTTACTAGATATGAATTTGTATTAAGTTCGTTTATTATTCTTTAGGCTGACAAATATCCGTTCATTTTAGATTACTCCAACTTTAGTATCTAAATAGGAAATTGTAGTCAGTATACAGTAATAATCAAATGCCAAGCCACAAAATAATCCTCTTGAATGTCGCGTAGTCCGAAGTATTAAAGCCTATCTATAAAAACTTGTATATTTAATGCTACTTAAGCGTGAACATCCAATCGAGCAATTTAGTCAGTCTATCATAAATGATTATGCGTGATAAAATCAAAGTTTCTAGGCATTCTATTTATATCTCTAATATCTATTTTAAATTAATATTGGCACTATGTTTACCAATTATATTCAAATGAAATCATTTGCGTATAAATCGTATTTTTATCATATTTATATATCATCATGTATGTTGTTTAAACTTCATTCTTTTTAATTTAGGTTGCCTTTAACTTTACATATCTTGAAACATCACCCGAAGATACCCATTCACAAGATGTTAAAGATAAATATGTTGCACTAAAAGTAAGAATCTCTTTAATTTAAAGGCATCTTAATGTAGATTGACATAATAATATAAAATTATATTATATTGTAATGATGGGCTGTAGTTTATCGTAACTAAGCGTAAAGAAAAAGCTAAACTGTGAATTATAGAATTTGTCGATACCAGGTTGTCACTTCATTTTGACTAACTATCACTACGATTTACTACGCAGACGATAAGTTCTCTTGATCGTGTAAGGCTAATGAAGCATTCCCTAGTTACCGCATATGCATACCAAAAATGGTAATTTGTTAAATCAAATCTTAAAATAGATCTCTTCCTTCGTAAGCTACTTTGTACTAAGATATATAGAAAAAGAACATAAATGTTTTATATATTTACTGGAAATGAAAAAAACAAAATATAACCCTATCTCAAATATATGTAAATTTCTGAATTAAAGTATTATTTAAAGCTAAATAAGAAATATAGATTCGCAATTATGATATATTCCTTGCAATTTTAGGAAAGCAGGTCATCGAGCTATGTATTTAGGTAAAATTTTTTTGGACTTTATATACTTAATTGGATTGAGTATTCCTATCGTTATGGATACTTTGGATTTCATAAGTTTAGCGCGTAATACGAATGCTTCTAGTAACTCCTACTCTAATTTGGTAAGATTATAATAAAATCGATGTTGTTTTCTTAAAAACAAACAGGCAATTATTTCTAGTTTGGTTTCGAATCGATATTATCAGCTTATTTATTAAAATCGCCAAAAGCTGAGTATATTGTCCTAAAATTAATAAATTTTAAGATTGCTAATATGATCTTATATTTGCTACATTGACCTTATTGTCGGATCTCTAGACCGCACCAGGAGTACCGATCAGAAATATTTTCGTTTTCATTACGGTTATGATTATGATTTGTGGTTTTAGCTATATTCTTGCATCCGGGGTAAGTACCGTATTGACCAATATACTAGGTCTGATTTATACTGAACTATAACATCAGACACATTTCCATTGTTGTAGATTGATGTTAATGTTAGTAATTGTGACGAAGACCTAAATAAAGAATTTAAAAAACGAAAACGCTGAAACCAATTGTTCTAATAACATATGTTGATGAGATCCTGTTGCTAATCCTTTTAACTATAGAGGCGAATCATTCTCCATTTCCTGAAGCAAACTGTGTTTGAACTGTTTGTAGCAGTTCTTGGATTGCTTTACGCTCTACCGTTCAATAAGCCCATCGGTTACGAAAATCTTCGGATTGGAGCACTTCTTATTCTTTGCTTATTTATCAACGTTATATTCATAATGAGAAGGCAAGACTAAATTAAGGATCACATAGATATATAAGATTGTTGCATTATGGAAACTCTTTTACTTTAAACAAGGAAGAACTGCTAGAAATCTCTCAGCGTATCCAGCACAGCTAGAGTATTAAAATAAAATTTTGTTGTTCTTACCACTGTACAGCTGAACAGAAATATCGATCTTGTAACGGCATCTTACAAATATCAACTTACGCGATAACATTTTCACAAATTAGATAACGATCGATAAGTTATAATCGGTCATAATATATCACAAAATACATTTAGATAAATATTTTATTTATAACCTGTTCTATAGACTTATATACTGCAAAGCTTATGCATAACTGAGTGTACTACTTTTGTCAAATCAAGATGGATTACTGTTTTAATTAGACTCCAATATGAAAACAGAACTAAAATACTAATGAAAGCCTCATATCATGACAAAGATAGTTAGGATGGTATATTTTAAATGCTGCACTGTTAGAAATTATGTGTAGTATAATAGCATAACCTATTTACATAATCGAAAATATAGATAAAAGCAGTTTATATATTCCAATTTCTTTAGAAAAGCTCTCTATCATAATCCAATTATAATTAAAATGGTAAATCAATTTTGCGGGCACGAACGATTTAATAGATTGAATCAAGAGATATCATATATCAGATTATCATGACATACCGTAAGCTAATAATTAAATACATTTTACTAGTTTTTCCAGATTAGGTCTGTATATTTCGATGCTTATTACTACCATTACGACCATCATCAGAGTTTCAGTTGTTTTTATACTGTTACTTGTGGCATTTGCTGGTGCTTTTGCAATAATATTAAATGATGAGGTAAGGAGATCTTAACTAGCACCCATATATGTATTAAAATCATTTTTTAGCTTTATTGTATTTCTTATTGAAGTAGTTAATCACATAGTTTAAAAAATACTACTTTGCTTAACCGATCGCGTATTGTCTTAGTTTTATCTTCTAAGTTTATCTAATTTTAAAAATACAGGCAACATTCAGACAATTTGATGCTGCATTAGTCACTATATTGACCATGTCTGCCGGAGAACTTAATTATGCCAACACCTTCCATCATTTAATTAATACTGGAAGACTCACGGGATTTAAAATAGAACTAATATTATTTGCAGCCATGGTTGTTATTATTAATATCGCCTTTTCAAATTTACTGGTAAGATTTTAAAGATTAGGTATAGTTTAATTAATTATTAACAGAGTTATTACAGCAGTTATCGAGAAAGAAATGAAAAATGCAGATAATACATTCGATTAATTAAGTTATAATGGTAATTTTTCGGCATTGCTTGCTAATAGATATCCTACATGAATCTTTATTCAAAACTTTCAAATAATTATATCGCTACGTTATAGCCGTAACCATGAATTATTCATATTTACCATAAAATAATTTAAATTTATAACGGGTTTTAACTTTCAGTCTTAAAGATTACTATTTGATTTGAAATGTTTAATTGCTTTTATGAATAGCCCTAGAGTTATTGATTTTGACTTGGCAGAAAAGTTGTCGGCTGATTTAGATATTAAGTAAATGCACCATACTTTTGGAGTATATTATTTAATTTGAACACTTCTAATGTAACAAAACATATTGGAAATGACTTAGATTGGCCTTGCGGTAGGTGATATTAACGAAGTCAGGGAAACTGCTAGTTTAAACCTAGCTAAAAGTCAATATGAGTCAATTATTGGAATTTACGAATCATATCCAATATATCTGAAGAAGATTTTGTATAGTCCAGGATTAATCGTCAGAAAAGATAAAAATTCGAGTTATTTGCAAAAGGTAAAATAAACTAGGCGATATAGATATCTTCATACAGAAGCAAAGGAAATCATTTTCATTTTCAGTCCGATTAATTTCGATGGCACCCTGAAAAAATATAATTGTGTAAGTTAAATCAGGCCCAAACTGTTTGGAGATATCCTTTTACGGGTGTAAATAAATATTATAGAGGAATTTGAACGGAATATAACTTCGATTTTCTAAGGAAGGGGTACCATCGAAAATAATCAGATTGTGCATGAAGCATAAAAGAGCCGTATGCTATTGAAAGCAATCTTCTAGTAAAGTTTTAAAGCAAAATTTATTCTTCTTAACACTATTTAGCAAACTTGGCATTCTTTAACCGATAATATAGCAATGATTCAAGAAGAAAAAGATCAAGTTAATCCAGAATTTGATTGGAGAAGTTTAAATGCTTTCGTTCTAAGGCAACAAACTGAGTAAGAATTATGCTGTTAAACATCACGCTAATTATATTACAATTAATGTTTTAAAATTATTTTGTAGAATACGTCTATTAAAAGAATCAATCGAAGATGTAAAGTCAGACATTAAAATGATTAGCTATTCGAGCCATTCTGAAACTAATAAATTGATTAAGCAAGTTTTGCATACGGTACAAGCCAATGGTAATGAAAAGGTTACTACCACCAGTGCTAACTGAAAGATTTATATTATTTAACTGAAACTATGCAGCAGTATTCTGTCTGTATTTTTTTGTGAAGACGGATATCGAGGATTGTTGTACATAAGCCTAATTTGAGAGCAGCTGTAAATATGCACAAAGATATTGTTGATTATTTTTCAGAGTTAGAGTACGGCTACTGATGAAGCTATGAATGTCTACCGTTAACAAAACAGAATAGGACATCAACATACACGGC